TTTATGCTTTTATTTAAAAGCATCCTCAAATCTCCAGACTCCAAATAACAGAGTCTGGGCTGCTTTTGGTTGTCATTTTGTGGTTAATTTCCATTTTTATTGTACTTAATGATTTCTGCTGTTGAAAAATATGGTATTCTTTAAAATAAAATACATGGTGAATATATTTGTGAATGGTCTTGGTGTGTTTGAAAAATAGGAAGAAAGGAGGGAGGGAAAGAAGCAAGAGAGGGAGGGAGGAAAGAAGGAAAGTATGTTTTGTGTCTGGTGCAGAGTTTGTCAGGAATGCTATTCAGGTTCATCGTGACCATATGCACTTTTTGTCTTCCCGATTTTTCAATTAAAGTTTCCCATTACGGTACAAGACTTGTCCATTTCCTATTCTTACAGGCTCTTCCTTCATAAAATTTACATCTATGTAATTATGTACATAAAAGTTCATGAATATCATATCTTCTTAGGGGATTACAACTTATCAAAATGATGTATCTTTGTCCCATTTAATGCTTTTCATCTTTTTTCTTGAAAATAATGTTGCTTGGCCTGCTTTCCAGTGATTAGCATTTGCTTAGTATCCTCCCAATACATTTTCTGTTTCTGTGTCATTTTAAAGACAATCTGAGTTTTGTTTTTTAATAGAGAAATTTCACATATACTTGAACTAATGCCTACAAGATGTCTGGCTTTAACACTTTGATTTCTAATTTGCTCTTTCTTCTCTCCTTTTTGGTTGTTCCAGAATTCTTCCTCTACAAGAACTGAAGTTACACAATCTGTGCCTATGCCTGGTGGCTCCTGGTAGACTGTGTGTTTAAATACACATTCATACCTTATAGGCTTGAGCAATATCTACATCTTTCCCCAGAAGAACTGAAGTCTAAGAAACCTTCACTCTTCTTCTCATCACCATAGGAAAGTGGAAAGTGAAAGTCACTTAGTTGTGTCCGACTCTTTGCAACCCCATGGACTATACAGTCCATGAAATTCTCCAGGCCAGAATACTGGAGTGGGTAGCCTTTCCCTTCTCCAGAGGATCTTCCCAACCCAGGGATCAAACCCAGGTCTTCTGCATTGCAGGCAGATTCTTTACCAGCTGAGCCACAAGAGAAGCCCAAGAATACTGAGGTGGGTAGCCTATCCCTTCTCCAGCAGATCTTCCCAACCCAGGAATCAAAGCAGGGTATCCTGCATTGCAGGTAGATTTTTTACCAATGGAGCTGTCACTATATAAATACATATATGTAAGATTTTTTTTGGCTTGTAGGATGGAGACAAGATGGTGGAGTAGAAAGACGCGAGTTCACTTCTTAGGAGAACACCAAATCACAAGTAACCGCTGAACAACAAGGAACAATAAACACTGGAAGCTACCAAAATTTTTCAGCTATCACTTTAATTTGCAAACCAACAGGCATCAATAATTATTCAGAGCAGCTGCATGCCGCCCAGGATTCCTTCCCGCCATTGTCAATGAGACCAAACGCCACCCTCTCTGTGAATGGCTGTCTCCCTCGTTTTGTCAGTCTTGGGGGTGAGGCTGGAAACCTCTGAGTCCTTGACTGTCTGACAAGCGCCCTTCCTTTGCCCTTCAACCTGGATTACGGCTGTGTCTCAAATTCCAGGTTTGGAATCTTTTCTCCTCAAGTACTTTGAAGATATTGATCCAATTAACTCTAAAATACTCGTGTGGTGTACAGAATTTTATGTCAACTGATGGCAGGACCTTTGCTCCTCTTGTTGACCACTTTGGGGTTTCTCTTCGGTCCTATCCTAAAATTCCATCCCACTGCCTCCCAGTTCTTATAGTTTCTCCGCCCACCCCATCTCGCTCAACCTTTTATCCCTGACATGCTCTGTGCCCTGACAGGCCTCTTCCGAGACGCGTTCCATCACCCTCTCTCCATCTTCTCCACTCTCTCCTTTTCAGAATCCTCCTGACAACCATGCGAGCTTCTCAAACTCCCCATGGGCTTCCCCTCTTCTCTTATACTCTCCACCTGTCAGCCCTTGAGACCTGCATCTGGGACAGCTCTGGGTGCTTTAGGCCTGCATTCTGGAATCATCCTTGGTTCATTTGTCCAATCACTAATTCCTTCTTCATTTCTGTCTGTTCTGCAATTTAAACCATCAAGATTTTTTCATTTTCATAACTTTTCTTTCCAAAATCTTTGCCTGTCTCTTTTGAAGGAGCTGTTTCTTTTATGAATACTCTTCTCCTCATGCCATTAGGTCTTCCCTGAAACATGCTCTTTCATTGCACTTGGTACTTCTCTCCCCTGCTCTGTGGTTCTCAAGTGTGTGACAGTTCTCGGCTCTGCCCACAGTCTGCTTTTGAGAGATGTGACTCGCCTGCATGGATACTGGTTTTGAGAGTGTCCAAATTCGAACACTTACCTGCAGTAGGCTCACCACACATCTCCGGTGATGTTTTCATTCACAAATGTTATTTGCTTCTGTCTCTTGGTAATTAACCTGAAGTCTGAGCTTCTGACTCGGTGGCCCCTGTTTCCTGGGACAGCGTGGACTCTGTGGTCTTAAACTCTGTCTTTGGAGGATTCTGGTAGGGGGACAGTAGGTGAGTGTTCTGACCATCCTGTTCCAATGTGTGAGAGATGGATTTGTGCTCTGATATTTGTCTTTTTACCCTATTTAGGGGTTGTTTCATAGCCAGTTGATTAAAAAAAGTCCAGAAACACCCTTCTTAAGTTCTGGTTGATAAGTTAATGTCAATGGCCATGGCCTGGGGCCAATGTACAGCCTCCATCTGCTTCCAGCCTGGCCTTGGGAAGGCCTCACAGAGACACAGGTCAAGTGGGCCTGGGGATGACCTGCCTGAGGTCCCAGTGCAGAGCAGGGAGGAGAGTGGAACTCACATGCAAGAGGCTGAACAGAGAGGGGCCCTGCCCCAAGGTGACCGCCCAGCCCGAGGGCAGGCTCTGGAGCAGACAGACAGCCGGAAACGGCCACAGCCTCACTTCAGCAGCAGAAGCTAACCACACAGCCACTCTGTATTTATGTAACTCTTACCCTGCAATTTCCCCGTTGTCTGTAATTACCCCATGTCACCTCGTAATACTTGCCCTAGTTAAATGGTTGGCAGTTACCATAGAAACCAAGTACTGTTCTCTAACTGGAAAAGGCGGTTGTATTTTTTAAATATTTCTAAGTTATATTCTACTTTGGTAGAGATTAATTTATAACTGCCATCAACTTGAAGAGAAAGGCAACCATGGTCACTGCCCGCCTTTGCTGTCCCGGCCCCTCCCTTCAGGAAGGCCCCTTCCCGGTCTACCTGCGGACTAGCCACATCAGCTCTGCGTCTGCACTCAGCTCCTTCTGTCCTCACTTGCTTCCTCCTCCCGCCTGGCGAGAGCCACAGCCCAGAGCCCCACAGTGCCACGCCTCTCCCCATGTTGCCGCTTCTTCTCACACCACAGATGGTGCGAAGCCTAGGGCCCCCCACCCTGCCCTTCCCCGGCCCAGAAAGGCCCCCAGAACATCCCTGCACTGTGCCCATAGGCCGGAAGAAGTTCACCTGTAAGCTGGCCCACATGAGGGTGTCCTATGTGTCACCAGCGGGCGACCATTGGCGATTCATGAAGACCACACGCATCTCACAGGATTTCCCCATCTTCTCAGCTCCCGGGTACCCTCTCAGCTTCCTGGGACAGACCTGCTGTCCAGCACGTCCGCAGCTGCTTCATGACTGCGTGGCCGCTCAGCCCCCCTGCTGCCCTCACAGATCCAGTTCCGTTTTCGCTCATCGACAACACTCCCCTGGGCTCCCCTCACCCCCCTCCCAGCTGCAGCCAGTCATCAAAGCCCCCGTTCTCCTGCCCGGCTCTTCCCCTCTCTCCTCCACGTGTGCCCACTTTCCACCTTGTCTCTGCAGACCGCCTGGGTGAAGCCCAGTTCTCCTCCCCCACCCTCAGGAAGGATGGAGTCTGCTCGGCTCTAAAGGTTCACCTGGGACCCCACCCCGCGTGGAAGCTGCTACCCGGCCCCAGTGCCCCACCCTCCCACTGCTCCAGCCACACTGGCCCCCAGCTGCTCTGTGGCCTCCTCGCCTACAACCTTCACACTGGCTGTTCCCTCTGCCTCCCCATCCATGACTTGCGCCCTCACCCTTACTTAAATGTCACCTCAGTGAGGCAACCCTGGCACTCCTGTGGGTCCTTGACAGCCCTGATGGACACGGCCCCGATGGGGAGCACGAGCACTTGCTTGTTCCTCGCCCTCCCTTTCCCTACGCAGGGAGCGCGTCACCTCCGGACTGCTTAGGCTGCGTCTACCTCTGACGCTGCCTCTGGGGACAGGGCCCATCAGTGTGTCTGCTGATGGATGTGACCCCTCCCAGAGCCAAACTGCGTACAGATAGCAGATCTGAGCTGCCTGCCCAGCGACTCTGCAGACTCCGGGACAGCAGCCCTACCTCCCAGCCTCATCTAAAATTGTTCCTGAAATCAATTCTGATTCTGAAGCGTCTCATCTCCTTCACTCTGCTCCCAGGCCAGTGACAGAGTGGGCCATTCTGTGTGGCTCAGGAGGGGCAGCAGCACGCAGCCCGACCGCATCGCGGCAGGAACCAATGTTCCTTCTCAGTTCTCTACAAACCACCCTGTTGAAGGAAATGAACACATAAAAAGCACATCTGAGAGGCTGTGAGCACCAGCAGGTGGGAGCCCACCCCTAACAGGGGCCTCTCCACGTGCCTGGTGGCCAAGCCAGGTTACTGGGAGTCACAGCACAACTGAGAGTTAAGAACCTGGAGAGAAGTGGTCAAGCAAAGGGTCAACCAGAAGTGAGGACCAGGCCCGGCATTGGGATGGGAGGGGAAGGTCAGATCCGGGCTGAGGTGGGTCAACCGACAGGCACTGAGGTTGGGCGCAGGCAGGGCACAGGTGGCAGAGCAGGCCGGGGGGAGGCGGGGGTCACAGGCGTCACTGGCTGGAACAGGGGGGCCGGGCGAGCAGGTCACCAGCGGGGGTAGATGAGAGTACCTGCGAGCGGCTCTTCCTCCCGGCCTGGGGACGCCTGTCCTGCCAGCCCGCCTGCTTCCCCGTGGGCAAGGACACTGTCCATCTACCAAAAAGCAAGGGAAAAATGTCACGTCACTCGATGAGCTCAGCACACCCGAGATCCCGCTCAGCCCCGCTTGTTCCTGGTCATCCTCATGTGTGGAGGCTCATAACACCTTTATACGTGAAATTTGTTTTGCATCCGTTAGTAATTGTTATAACAGAAATACATTTAAAAGCTGGCAACACAGTTGAAGACTCAGAGGTGTCCGGGTGCTCTGGGCCCAGCCAAGTGCTGCGTCCCTTTAATGGAGTAAAGTGTGGAGGAGGGGGCCCTGCCCTGGACGGGGTTACCCTCCCGAGGCTCCTCAGTGGATGTCGGCAGCAGGGGAACACTTCCAAAATGCTCTAAAACCGAAAGGTCCAGTCATTATTCTAATCCTACCTAATGAAGAATGTTCCAGAAATACAGGCTGGGTTATGAAAGTGCAAAAAATCTTTACAAGGAAGAGACACTAACAATTTGTAAGCACTTGTTACTTCCCAGCGCTCTCACGCCTGTTCTCTCACACACTCTGGCGGGGTGAGGGAGCAGTCATCATCACCACTTCACAGAGGAGCCTTGGGCTCAGAGGAGAGCAGTTGTCAGGGCTGCAGGGCTGGCAGTGCCCAGCGGAAGATTCTCAGTGACCTGGCTGGAGACTCTCCAAGGGTGCTGGCCGCTCTGGGATGTGTGCACTCTCCTGGCGGGGGCGGGGATGCTCCCTCAGAGGGCACGGGCAAGGGTGGAGCTCCTGGCCTTCACAGCACTTCAAGTGACTGTGTTCTGTGTCCCATCTCCATAGGGACAACAATGATGCCAGAATACTCTTCACTCACCGCATTCCCCAGTGATGGCTGATTTACTTCATGGTTCAGGTTTCAATTATTAAATAATATTAACACATCATGAATTTGACATGACCTTGGCAATGCATATAGATTCCTTGGTTAATGTAACTATTGATCTTTTCTTGGTCTTTCGTGGTTTTCATAACTCTTTAAAACTATAGATACTTAAATATAAAGAGTAAACATTTAAACAATGAAAAATAAGACTCTCTGGTAGCATTTCTGAGCTCAGTCACTGTTAACACCACCCGGTGGATCCATCCATCACATTCCATGCACATGGAAGGAACATGCATGTCCATTATGCACCTGGCATGTGATTCTTTAATGCATCTTAGAACTTTTTGACTCAACACAATCAGAGGTACCTTGGCATGAGATGTGAGATACTGTACACTTTTAATTTCAGAGAAATAAACCAAAGTCATCTCCATATGGGTCTCTGCAAATTATATCCCCATCAAATTCCTGAGTGTTGTTTCTCCAGCCACTGCTGATGCAATTCACTCTCAAACACTCCGAACTCTGACAAACTGAAGGACGAAAGCTGTTACCAGTTTAATTGTTGACACTTGAAAGCTGTAAACATCTTGAATGAGGCTGAGCTCTTCCTCATGTTTACCAAGTATCTGTACTGTATGTGGGGCCTCATCCATTAAGCAGGACAGGCGATGACTCACAGGATGAGTCAGGAGTGACCACAGTTACAACCCCCCACTGCCCAGTGTGAGTCCTCATCGAGCTATTTTTGGCTCTTTTGCTAGTAACTCTGGATGATGCTCTTAAATCCCTGTGCACTGATTAGCTGGCCTGAAGAGCATGAAGCGCATGACTGGCGCCCCTGTCCCCTCTGCACACCCTGCCCCCGCCTCCCTCCCATCACTGCTGTGGACTCTGCTGCTGCCACCTAATGAACAAGGTCTGCAATACCAGATCCCCGACCCCGACAGCCCCCCATTCCTGGAACCCTGCTCCTCGGTCCCCACCAGCCTGTCTGTGGCCCTTCTCCCTGACTCAGCTGCGCTATCTGGAGTCTGGCTCCATTTTCAAGGAGCCCTGCCAGTGAGGGTGCATAAGCATCACTTCTCCCCAGGTCCTCACATGTCTGAAAATGGATTATTGAGAAAATTCTTTCTTCCCTAAAGATTTTGTATACTGTCTCCTGTGAAAATTGCCGTGGAAACATCCAGGGACAGCCTGATTGCTCTCCCTTATACATGATATACACATAAATAGCAAAATGGGTAGGAACTGAGAAAAGTACTTAATAAACGAAGAGGTCTAAATGGCCAACAAGCACATGAAAACGTGCTCAGTCTCATAGTGGTCAAAGGTGTGCAAACTAAAACCAGAAATAGATGCAAATACACAGACCTCCCTGGTAGCTCAGCTGGTAAAGAATCTGCCTGCAGTGCTGGAGAACTGGGTTCGATCCCTGGGTTGGGAAGATTCCCCTGGAGAAGGGAAAGGCAACCCACTCCAGTATTCTGGCCTGGAGAATTCCATGGATTGTATAGTCCATGGGGTCGCAAAGAGTTGGACAGAACTGAGTGACTTTCACTTTCACTTCACATGCCCACTACACTGCATTAATATAATAGTCTGGCAATACCTACCAGGTGCTGGAGAGGGTGAGGTGCACTGGGAACTTCTAAACACCAGTCACTTAGGCTACTATTTTCTTCTGAAAAATCCCTCTACTATACAGGAAAAAAACATGTATCCACTAATTAGAAAAATTATGATGCCTTCATCCCAACCAAAGATAACCAAACATTTTTACAAGTAGAAAAGTATTTAAATTAACAGCAAAAACAAACTTATAAAAGAAATAAGCAGATGAGAAGTAAATAAGCAGAGTGTGCACTTGCACGAACGGGATATAAGCAAGACTGATGGTCTGAGCTGGGGAGGAGGAGCATCCCAGGGAACCCTGTGGCAGGACAGTCCCTTTGGGAGGCACATCCTCATTTCTACACTATTTTCTTCACAGACTTATGAACCTTCCTGAGGTTCACAGTTCTTTTGTACTCTGAGTGCATTTATAAGTAGAGTTCCAGCATAGCCAAACACATTAGGATCTAAGGATGGGTCCCAGCCTGGGGAAAACCCAGACACACGGAACCAGACACAGAACCACGAGTTGGGAAGGTCTGTCTACATCCTCTCACAGAATGGACACACATAGGGTGCTGCTACTCATCTAGACGAGTGCACAAGGACATTCCTGTCATGTCTTCTGGTTGTTGTTCAGTTGGTCAGTCATGTCTGACTCTACAACCCCATGGACTGCAGCATTCCAGGCTTCCTTGTCCTTCACCATCTCCTGGAGCTTGCTCAAACATGTCCATCGAGTCGGTGATGCCATCCAACCATCTCATCCTCTGTCACCGCCTTCTCCTCCTGCCCTCAATATTTCCTAGCATCAAGGTCTTTCCCAATGAGTTGGCTTTTTGCATCAGGTAGCCAAAGTATTGGAGTGTCAGTTCCATTACCAGTCCTTCCAATGAATATTCAGGGTTGGTTTCCTTTAGGGTTGACTGGTTTGATCTCCTTGCTATAAAGGGACTCTCAAGACTCTTTTCCAGACCCACAATTCCAAAGTATCAGTTTTCCAGCACACAGCCTTCTTTATGGTCCAACTCTCACATCCATACAGGACTACTGGAAAAATCATAGCTTTGGCTATATAGACCTTTGTTGGTAAAGTGATGTCTCTGCTTTTCGATGCGCTGTCTAGGTTTCTCACAGCTTTTCTTCCAAGAAGCAAGCATCTTTTAATTTTGTAGCTGCAGTCACTGTCCGCAGTGATTCTGGAGCCCAAGAAAATAAAACCTGTCACTGTTTTCACTTTTCCCCCTTCTATTTGTCATGAAATGATGGGACCAGATGCCATGATCTTAGTTTTTTGAATGCTGAGTTTTAAGCCAGCTTTTTTCACTCTCCTCTTTTACTTTCATCAAGAGGCTCTTTAGTTCTTCTTCACTTCCTGCCACTAGAGTGGTATTATCTGCACATCTGTAGTTTTGGTGATATTTCCCCCAGCAATCTTGATTCCAGCTTATGCTTCATCCAGCCTGGCATCTTGTGTGATGTACTCTGCATATAAGTTAAATAAGCAAGGTGACAATATACAGCCTTGATGTACTCCTCTCCCAATTTTGAACCAGTCCATTGTTCCATGTCTGTTTCTAACTGCTGTTTCTTGATCTGCATACAAGTTTCTCAGGAGACAGATAAGGTGGTCTGGTAGTCTCATCTATTTAAGAATTTTCCAGTTTGTTGTAATCCACAAAATCAAAGGCTTTAATATGAAGTAGAAGTAGATTTTAAATGAAGCAGAAGTAGATTATTTTTTGGAATTCCCTTGCTTTTTCTATGATACAACAAATGTTGACAACTTGATCCCTGGGTCCTCTGCCTTTTCTAAATCAAGTTTGTACATCTGGTAGTTCTCAGTTCACATACTGTTGGAGCCTAGCTTGAAGGATTTTTCTGGTGGAAATGGTTACATCAAGGAATTGGTGAATGTCCCTTTTTTGGAGGCATAGTGTTATAACACCACTCCTAATAGTTTGTTTACTTAATTTGGGGGTAAAAAAGTCATTGTAGAGAGGGGAAAAAGGATGCTGCTCTCTAAAATTTGGTGTAGTTTTATGAAGCAGTGGGAAGAGGTGATAGGTGCCTGAAACGTGTGGTAGGGTCTGCATTTTGCTGCTACAAGTACAGACTTTGGGGCCTCAGCCAGCAAAGCAGAATGAGTGTATAAGCCAGGATGTGGCAATTCTGCTCAGGACACACACCCAGAGTGGTGTGTGCATGCACCAGCCACAAGACACGCCAGATACTGCTCTGAGAGCGATGTGTTTGTATGTGTGTGTGTGTGTTAGTTGCTCAGTCGTGTCTGACTCTTTGCTACCCAGTGGACTGTAGGCCACCAGGCTCCTCTGTGTATGGGATTCTCCAGGCAAGAATTCTGGAGTGGGTTGCCATACCCTTCTCCAGGGGATCTTCCCGACCCAGGGACTGAAACTGGGTCTCCTGCATGCAAGCAGATTCTTTACCATCTGAGCCACCAGGGAAGTCCCCTGAGAGCAATGGGCCATCTTTAATTCTGGTTGCTCTGAAGGTTTTCTTTGCTGTAGTTTTTAAGAGTCAAGCAATGATGCCCCT